TATTCTATTCTATTCTATTCTATTCTATTCTATTCTATTCTATTCTATTCTATTCTATTCCATCTTCTATTCTATTCCATCTTCTTTTTCCATTCCATTCCATATTCTATTCTATTCTATTCTATTCTATTCCTTCTTCTATTCTATTCCATCTTTTTCCATGCCACTCCATTCCATTCCACTCCATTCTATTCTTTCTTCTATTCTATTCCATCTTCTTTTTCCATTCCATTCCATTCTATTCTATTTTCCATTCCATTCCATTCCATTCTTGCTTGCTGTGTGGTGCTGAAGACTTATTTTTGCAGACTATACTGCACCCTCAGAGAGCTGTTTAATAAGAGTTCTTGTGAGTGCTGGTCTTATTGTAATCTCTCTAAAAAAAATCCCAATGTCAAGAGTCCTTGGTTGTGATAGATTTTTGAGGCAATTTATGGATGACATTGCTCAGGTCTGTGCCAACTTGAATACTGATTTTGATATAGTATATATTGATAGATCCAGTACATTGGCTATTTGTACAGGATTCTTACAGATTCTAAGACAATATTAAGGGCTCCAATACAGAATGATATAAATCCCAAACACTAAAACATTCCTTTTGATAGAGTCCATTAATTCATTTGAAATTTAATCAAATGGCTAGCAAATAAAGCCATCATAGTGGGATGGGCAATGTATTGTCAGAAACTACTTAATTTTTGAGACGCGTATATAGGGTTGAATTTTGATCTAAAAATATCTGATTTTAAAAAAGGGTTTCAGTTTACTAACACCATTGTCCCACAAATCATGTTTTCCCCCAAATAATATTTATGTATGCTAATGTTTAGTAGGATTTTCATTAAAGGTAATCCAGAACTTGAATATAGTAAAATAAGCCATACAGAATTAAAACCATTCAAATACAAACTTAAACAAGACAACACTGAAATGCTACTAAAGAAAGTTTGCTAGATGTTCTCGGGAACATTTCAAAAACTTTCAGTGACTAGGTAACTTGTTTAATACTTATAATTTTTTTCTGTATTTATATATTTTATCATTTTGTAAGCCACTCAAGGTCACTTTGAACCATGCAGCAAATAAATTTAATTAAAAACTAGATCATTCATTGATGCCAAAATCCAATTAAATCTGGAGTCTACTTAGCGGCATTGTGCATATATTATTTTACTCCAGATGTTCTGGGTGATTCTGGCTGAAATCTCAAAAGAATATTGAAATATTCAAATTATTAACTTTAAAATAAACATGAAACAATTTTGGCATCAAAATCCTTTTAGATTCCATTACTTGTAATCATAACCCGATATTCAACAAATCACCTATTCATTTTGTGGTTAAGAGTTAAACCATGGCGTAAAACAATATCGCCAGAACTCATTTTGTTTAAATGAGTTGAATTATAGTTGAATTACTGCAAATCTCCAAGATACTTAGTAGATGTAGTTCCAGCTTTGCTTATCCACATTCCCTCCCCAATTTAGAACAGGAAAATAAATCACTGCTGATGTAGTGCATTTGTTTCAATCCAAAACAAAACTTACTCATTGCATGGTATATCGGCTTATGCTTTCCCTCCAGTCGGACACTTGCAATGGCTGCAAGTTTCCCTGGCGGTTGCATCCATCCATCTAAAAGGTACCAGGTTCGAGCAAATGTAGCCCATTGCTTAAAAAAAAATAATGAGTGTATAAAATAAATGGCAAGATACAACCTTGGATGAAAAAAACAATAAAGATATTTGACATTCCAATGCCAGATCCAAAGCTAATCCTACCTGGATAACGGAAGACAAATGGACCTAACTGTGTGAAAGATCAATCTTACATCTTTCCTTAATAAATAATAGGTGTGCCTGAAATCAGTGGCCCTTAGGAATAATAATAATAATAATAATAATAATAATAATAATAATAATAACAATAATAATAACAATAAGCTTCCTGCTGTAGTGCCAGGGGAGATACAAAAGACTGCGTGACTCGAAACATCTTAAGAAAATACTTGGTTGATAGCTAGGATGCTGGCAGCAACCCATATCAACCATCAGAGCCAGTCAGTGATATTTGTGATACATTTTTAAATGTTCAGTTGACTTGAGTGTGGGAATTGCTATCTGTTTCCTCACACGCGTGCAAGGACAACGGGCCTTCTGGTAGTTGTTTGTAACACGAGGCGAGGGACAAGGTCGAAATGTTGCCACTTCTTACCCAGAATTGTAGCAAACTTAAACTTTACAGCTTTGTATTCTCATATGGTATTTTGTGTGATGTAATGAGTTTGTAACAACACACTAACAAAAAATTGCAACGTTAACAAAGATTGCTTCTAATAAAAGGGGGTGTCAGAATATGTTCTGTGCTCTCATCCCGATCTGGCTTCATGGTGTCGTCTCAGTGTTTTCATTCATGAGAGACTTCCAGTGTTTTCATTCATGAGAGACCACCACACTTGAGTTTCATGTTTAATGAATAAAAGTTTATAATAATAATAATAATAATAATAATAATAATAATAATAATAATAATAATAATAATAATAATAATAATAATAATAATAATAATAATAAATAATC